AGATCAGAAGGATGAGTGGAGAATGGTCGTTGGTGAAATTTAAGTATGAAAGGCTAAGCCACTTTTGTTTCATTTGTGCTTATTGGGGCATATAGATTGATTTTGTGACAAGCTATTCTCCGCAAACGACGAAGAAGTCAAGAAGGAATGGGGGCAGTGGTTGCGAGCGCCAGACAGAAGAACCACCGTGCATGGTGGGGAACGGTGGTTATGGGATAATGATACGGGAATACAGGGTGAGGATGGTAAGTTGCATGAGGTTAGGGCAGAAAATATAGAATCGTGCATGGCTAATATGAATAACAGTTATGGAAAGGCTTACATTGTCAAATTTGGAAGCTCCAGTAGAAGCAAAATGCCGAAGACTTTGGTAACGTGTCTGCACGCTTCTATAATTAGTCAAAAAGATCATGAAGCTGGTAAGGAGCACATGCAACCAGATAAAGAAAGTGATATGGGCCTGGACCGTGAAGATAATGGGCTGACTTTGCAAGATGATAGGAAAAAAACGAATAGCAATGGAGACTTCAATTCAGAACAAAAAACGGACCATATGGTCGTGGACAGTGAAGACAAAAATGGTGAAGTTGGGAACAGTAGTGTTCAGTTACATAGTGAGGATGATATTCTAGCTGGTCATTTTTTAACGGCAAGACCTGGTTCTCAAGCCTGCCGAGAACCATGATATGTTTAAGCTGGAACTGCCGAGGACTTGGCAATCCTCGTGCAGTTCGTGATTTTAGAGAACTTATCTGTTCTCGTAAGCCAGATGTTATCTTTTTATTTAAAACTCTTGTTCATGTCAATAAAATTGAAGAAATTCGAATTCAGATTAGCTTTGTTGGTGCTTTTGCAATGGATAGGGAAGGGAGGGGTGGTGGTATTGCTTTTCTTTGGAAAAATCCTAATATATGCTCTCTGTTAGATTATTTGAATAATCATATTAATGTGTAGGTATGTGATGATAAGAAGGGTCCTTGGAGATTAACAGGCTTTTACGGTTATCCGGATAGAAGTCGTAGGAGGGACTCATGGAATCTTCTTCATACTATTTGTGCTTCTTCTAGGTTGCCATGGTGCTGCATTGGAGACTTTAATGACATGCTTTCTCCTGAGGATAAGCGGGGCAGATTGGATCATCCTAACTGGCTTCTGGCTAGGTTTCGTGAGACTATTTCAGATTGCCACCTTCACGAGATTTCTATTATTGGCTCTTGCTTCACATGGGAGAGAGGTAGAGGGACTAAGGCATGGGTCCAGAAAGAATTGATAGGGCTTTTGCTTCAGGAGAGTGGTTGGGGTTATTTTCGGACGCAAAGCTTTGAAATTTGGTTGCTCCTGTTTCGGACCATAATCCAATCCTATTAGAAATAGTGAGTGTTTCTCACATTCATTGTCAGCTGCGCTTTCACTTTGAAAATGAGTGGTTACGGGAGCCAGGTTTGAATAAAATGGTGGAGGATGCGTGGAGTTTGTCGAGGATGGGTGATGTTTCTTCTCGTTTGGATTTATGTGGAAAAAGCTCTTGCTAAATGGGGCTCGGGTCTGAATCAGAAATTCACTAGGGATATTGCTCAATGTAAAGCAGTTATTGAGAGGCTCAAGGACAACAGTATTTCTTCAGATATTGAGACTGTTAAAGAAAACAAAATTGAACTTTTAAAGCTTTTAGGGCAGGAGGAAGATTATTGGCGTTAGTGTAGCAAGAGTTTTTGGCTTCGCGATGGTGATGCCAATACTAAATATTTCCACACGGCAGCATCTACGAGGAAAAGGACAAATAGAATTTCAAGATTGATGGATGATGAGGGTAATTGGCATGATGATCCAAGTAGTCTTTGTCAAGTGGTCCAAGATTATTTTCGTAAGTTGTTTTCCTTGTCTTCTAGTCATGCTATTGATGGTTTCGATTTTGTTGATTGTAAAATTTCAGACTCAGATAATGAGAAGTTGCTATCTCCATTTTCTTTTGAGGAGTTTAAGGAAGTTGTTTTCCAAATGCATCTGGACAAGTCCCCAGGTCCGTATGCCTAAATCCATCTTTCTATCAAAAATTCTAGCCCTTAATTGGTAAAAATATTTTTCAAGCTGTTGTGTCTTGGCTTTCCAGAGAAGAGTTTCCAGCTTCACTAAATGACACTACTATAGTGCTTATTCCGACGTGTGAGTCCCCGAAAACTATGAAAGATTTGAGACCTATTTCTCTTTGTAATGTGTTGTACAAGATCGTCTCAAAAGTTCTTGCCAATCGTCTTAAGGTTCTTCTTCCTAACATTATTTTGAATGCTCAATCTACTTTCATGCCTGGGAGAGCTATCACTGATAATGTCTTGGTAGCTTTTGAGCTTATTCATTTTATGAGGATGAAGCGGAAGGGTAAGGTGGGCGAGGTTGCTCTCAAAATAGACATTAGCAAGGCTCATGATCGGGTGGACTGGCAATTTCTCAAGCTTATGATGCAGAAATTGGGTTTTTCTAACAAATGGATTAGGTTGATCATGCTTTGTGTCACTATAGTTTTCTATTTTGTGGCTTTCAATGGCATGGAGGTTGGGCCTATTATTCCTGGTAGAGGTCTTCGCCAAGGTGACTCGCTTTCCCCTTATTTATTTATTTTATGTGCTAAAGGCTTATTTGCTTTGATGTATAAAGCTGAAAGAGAAGGTTTGATTTCTTGTTGTCGTATTTGTCGGGGTGCGCCTAGTGTTTCTCACCTTTTGTTTGCAGATGATAGATTTTTCTTATTCAAGGTGGAGGAAAGGGAATGTAATGCCATGAAGAATATCCTAAAAGTCTATGAAGAAGCATCGGGGCAAGCAATCAATTTTCAAGTCAGGTGTGTTCTTCAGCTCAAATGTGCCTTAGGATGTGAAGGCTAGAGAGACTAGCGTATTGGGGGTTGTTAATCCTATTAACACAAGGAGGTACTTAGGCTTGCCTTCTCAGATAGGTAGGAAGAAGAATGAAGTCTTCAGATTTATCAGGGATTGTCTATGGCAGAGATTGCAGGGTTGGAAGAGTAAGCTTTTGTCTCGTGTGGGTAAAGAGGTTTTAATTAAATATGTGGCTCAAGCTGTCCCCTCCTACTGCATGAGTACCTTTATGATTCCTGTCTCTCTTAGCAAAGAGTTAGAGAGAATGATGAACTCATTTTGGTGGGGTAATTCCAACTCTAATGGTGGGGGCATTAAATGGCTTAGATGGTAGAAGCTTTGTGTAAGGAATGAAGAGGGTGGTATGGGGTTTAGAGATATGCAACCTTTCAACTTAGAAATGCTTGCGAAGCAAGGTTGGAATATCATTTCCAACCCAAATGCTCTTGTTTGTCGTGTTTTCAAGGCTAAATACTTCCCCAGGGGGAATTTTCTAGCAGCCCAATGTGGGCATAATCCAAGTTATACTTGGAAAAGCATCTAGCATTCTCACATTGTTTTGGAGAAGGGTTGTAGGTGGAGAATTGGGAATGGGCAACATATCCGTGTGTGGGATGATCCGTGTCTTAAGGAGATGGGCAATTTTAAGGTTGATTCGCCTAGAGTTGAGGGGCTTGAAGATATTGTGGTTTCGGACCAATGGATTCTAGGCCACAAGGAATGAGATATCGAAATGATTCATGAGCTTTTTGGCCCAAGGGATGCTAGTGCAATTTTGAATATTCCCTTGTCTTATGCTAGTCAAGAGTACTAGCTGTATATTCAGTAAAGTTAGGATATAGGGTTGCAAGGGATCTTAATACCACTATCTCTCAAGCTGTTATTTCGGGTGGATGGGATAAGCTATGGAAGCTTCCTATTCCGCCTAAGGTGAAGAGCTTTGTTCGGCGGGTTTGTAGGGGGTGCTTGCCCTGTAAAGACCAGCTTGCTAGGCATGGCATCTAGTTAGATACTTCTTGTCATCTCTGTAATACTAACGTTGAAAGTCTAAGCCATGTCTTGTTATCATGTCCGTATGCTCAAGCTTGTTGGTCTAAGGCTGGCATTAGCGCAAATGTGTCTAATCACGCCTCTTTTGCTGATTGTCATCTTGAGTTTTTAGCAGAAACTGATTATGACAAGTCTAGACGTGCTTGCATGGTTTTGTGGAGCATCTGGTCTCAACGTAACTCAAAGCTGTGGAAGAATAATTTTAAGCTGCCTGATCATGCTGTTACTGGGAGTTTGCAGCTTCTCCATGATTGGAAGCAACTTCAAATACAGAAGCGATTGGGCATGGTTATTAATCTTAACCACCAAGGTGACGGTAATTGGCGTGCTCCCCCTCCTGGTTCCTTCAAGTGTAATGTTGATGCTGCCTCTTTCACGAGCAGTAACCTCACTGGGTTTAGGATAGTTTTACGTGATGAGCTTGGTGCCTTCATGAAAGGTTACACGTCCACAGTTCCTGGTCTATTCGTTTCAAAAGAAGGGGAAGTAATGGCCCTTATAGCAGCAATTAAATGGGTGACCAGCATGGATATCCAGAATGTGGTATTTGAAATTGATGCCCTAATAGTATGGAAAGCCCTTCGTGCTCCAGCTTTAGACCTATCTGAATTTGGCTCCCTCGCTCATGAGTGTTCCTCGTTAATCCTTGTATCTGGCATGAGCCTCTAGCATTTGTGAAGGATTTGCTTGTTTGTGATATTTCTGGTTGATTAATGCATTGTAGTTTATTCTCAAAAAAATTATTCATCGGAGATGTTCCCAATGCACGGTGGATGTGCATGAGACACGCCCAAGTGTGAGTAGCAGATCCCATTACGTCAGATACATAGAGTACGCCTCCCACTAATGTCTCAGCGCATCACAGCCGTACATTAGTAACGTCCTTCTACGGTAACATTATGTACGAGAGATGCTCTCAATGCACGGCTGCGATGGGATGTTAGGTTGGTGTGAGGCGCGTTTTGTGAGAGTTAATCCTGATTCCCAGCAGCGGATACAGCCGCCCAAATACAGTACAGGAGTTTGTAAGTAATAAGACAAGCGAGAAACGGAATGAGGTAGTGTGTATTCGCTCAGGCTGTTTTTGTTCTTTGTTTCATACACAGATAATTCACATTTCACACTCCCAGCTTATTCACGCGTTTAGAAACTCACCTGTTTCTCCAGAACTTTCGTTCCATGGCTGCGACGAGGACCGGGCGGAACTACGACGTCTTCCTGAGTTTCAGAGGCGAAGACTCCAACAGTTACTTTATCGATCACCTGTACACTGCTTTGGATGAAAGGGGAATCCGCACATTCAGAGACGACGACCAACTCAAGACAGGAGAAAACATATCTTCAGAACTGCTAAATGCAATAGAAGAGTCAAGGGCATCGATAATTGTTTTCACGGTGAATTATGCTTCTTCGACATGGTGCCTGGACAAACTTGTGAAAATCCTGGAATGCAGGAAAACAGGAGGCCGATTAGTGCTTCCCGTTTTCTTCGATGCCGATCCGTCGGATGTTCGGAAACAGAGCGGGAGTTACGAGGAAGCATTTGCCAGACACGAAGAAGAGTATTACGAGGTGGTGAAGATGAAGGAGAAGGTGCAGAGGTGGAGGACAGCTCTCACCGAAGCTGCCAATTTGGCCGGGTGGGATGTACGAAATGCTAACAAAAGGTAATTTTGAATCAGTTCCCGTCTGCTATTTGTTCTGGCAAAAATTATATGATAACCGTATACTCTGGTAACTTTGGGACTTAGATGACTATAAGTTTTTCAGTTAATTTTTGGAAAGTTCAAAATCCCTTTTCTCCAACCGCTAATCCAAACTATATCTCTTCCGCTGTTTTATTATTTTTATCTTTTGTCTTTGCAATCGTATAAAGTTGGATTTTGGTTTCTTCCCTTTTTCCTAAAATAAATGTCACAGCGATGGTTGATTTCTGAAGGAATATTTATTTTCTGTAGTTATCGTTTTGGTAGGCGTCGAGAAATACATGGTTGTTTATTCTCAAGATGAAAATCTGTTACAGTATGGGATGCTCTTGTGGGGGTGTTTGGGTTCCCTCCCTCTAACAGATAGCTTGTAGAGGTGAGTTCTCCTAAAGCACATATCAAATGGTATCAGAGCCTACACTATGCCTCCCAGTTGCAACCATGCGGCACAGGTGGTGACGTCGGTATTTGTAGTGTTCGGCCTGGACTAGGTGGACTAGTGCAAAGCCAGCCTGCGTAAGCGCCGGGACTGTGGAGCATGGTGGAATGTTACGATCCATTTGTTCCATGTTGGTAGTATGAGATGCTAACGTGAGATATCCCACATCGGTAGTATGGGTGGGTTCCCTCCCTCTAACTGCTAGCTTTCAGGGGTGAGTTCTCAAGCACATATCAAAATCATTTCTCATCAGGTTTTTCCCAATTCCTAACGTACAGCGCGGTTCCACGCTCTTCCAGATATTGAAGAAAGCTCAGCAATCTTTGTCTGACATTCTTTGGTTTTATGTTCAATCTTGACATAGTAAAATCTAGATCAGCTCTAATCTTTTCTTAAACAAGATGGTAAAAATTGATCAGTAGCAGGGAGACTGATTGATAACTAGTCCTTGGGAGATGTTGGCACCAGCAAAAATTATCTGATATCCATATACACTGGTAACTAATCTTATTGGAACATTGAGACAGAAATGGTCTCTGTAAATGTGATAGACTTGCAACAATTTTAGGAAGTCCCAGCAACGAGATTGGCTGCTGTTGGCACTGTGTATGGTCAAGGTTTCATACTAAGTTCCAAGTATCAACCTAGTTCCAATTTGAAACATAGATAATATTTCGAAATTCTGGTGAAATTTCAAGAAAAGAAGCTTAGGGTTTATGATCTTTCATTGTTCTAGATTTTTTTTCCTTTTTTAATCAAGAACGATTGAAAGGCTTTTATTAAGGAAGGAGATGAAACACTCCTAGGAGGACAACCTACAAGGAGGAAACAAAACAAGATGAAGTACAATATGACATAGAGTTAAATAAAACAGAAATGAAGAACATAGAAATACAATTGCGCTTACTGATCAACCCCAGGGCCTGATTCCCTGTGCTAGATTTGGTCTTCTAAACTAGCCAGTGCATTTGCTGAGGCCTTAGCTGATCTGAGGGCCTACTTGAATGATGGGAGCACAAAAATGTTGAAGGGATTATTGAAAGAGCATTACTGTGAAAGAAACACCTTCACTGGTGGGAGCAGAAAAACTCAACGGAACTAGTTTGATCTTGAAAACTGCTACAACTCTGGAGGGGCTTGGATCACTGAAAGAGCAACCATCAAAATTGTATTTAATTATATGTTCATTTACTAAAACACCCCTATAGTTTTATGGACTTACTAAAACCTACCTTATAAGTTTGTGTTTTACTAAAACACACCTATAGTTTGCAACTGATTTACTTGATTGTTGATTGGCTTTCCATTAAGAATTGTTTATACTACCATTTGGAAATGGTCATTTGACGACCTAAACTGAGTAAAATGTTTAAGGGCATGGACTCATGGTTATTAATTCTAAAAATGCCCCTAGCACTTCATATCAAGCTTTTAGAAAGAAAACTCTCCCCCTCTCCTAAAACAAGTCTAATTAAAATTGTTCTATCGTTAAATCTTTTAACATGTACAATTTCATTTTTAAATCTTTATCTACTATTATCACTACACAATTTCTATTGTTTACCTCTCCTATGTACCATAATTTGTAGCCATCAATTTCTTTAGTTTTTTTTTTTTTTTACCTTCCCATTTACTTTCTCGTATGCTTGCAATATTAACCCATCTCTTCATAGTATCTACTAATTCAATAGTTTTTCCTATTAGTGTTCCTACATTCCAAGTGTCTAAACGAAGTTGTGTTTCTTGGACTAGCTTCTTTACCTGCCCCCATCCACATGGATGTTGGAACCCTTGCCTATTTGACACCACAACTAGGCATTGCCGTGGTGGGTTACTTATAGGGACCATCCTAGCAAACCCTTGCCCACTTAACACTACACTCGAGTTAGGGTGCAATCACACTATATCACCCATATAACCCACTTATTTGAACTTCACAAATCAATCCTGCACTAATTTGTTCACCATACCACCTTAAACAACCCTCTTCAATCTATTGATTATAGGGTTTCTACAAATTCCTTTTCATGGACACCCCTTTAGATAGGCAAGAATCTTGTTGACAACCTACATATGTGAAGTTCTAAGACTATGCATATACTGACTCACCACACTTACAACATAGGATATATTAGGTCGAGTCAAAAGAAGCCAACCAACAAGTCTTTGATAGACACCCTTGTTTGGAAGAATATCTCCATCATCAATACTAAGTTTATGATTGGGGTCCATTGGAGTTTCAATTGGCTTACACCCCAGTTTCCCAACCTCATGAAGGAGATCAAGGACATACTTTCCCTGCGAAATGAATATCCCTCCCTTTGACCTTGCCACTTCAATTTCGAGAAAGTACTTGAGATACCCGAGATCTTTGATCTGAAATTCAAAAGCAAGAAATGACTTTAGTTGGTTTATCTTAGAATGATGATCTCTACTGACAACAATATCATCAATGTACACTATCAATTGGGTTACTAAGCCATTAACCCTTCTTATGAATAGAGTATGGTCTGCCTGTGATTGTGTGAACCAAATTCTAAGAACAACTTTTCTGAATCTATCAAACCAAGCTCTTGGAGACTGCTTAAGCCCATAAAGAGAATTAGGGATTTTTTCAGACGGCAAACCTTCCCCTCACTATTAGGGAAGCTTGCCCTCGGGGGTAGATCCATATAAACCTCTTCTTGAAAATCTCCATTGTGGAAGGCATTCTTCACATCTATTTGGTATAGAGGCCATGAATAATGAGCAACAAGTTACAAGTGACATGATGACTCGAATAGAGTTCATTTTGACTACAAGATGAAAGACTTTTGTGATAGTCAATCCCATATGTTTGAGTGTACCATTTTGCCACCAACGCTTTGTATCTTTCAATTGCTCCATCAGCCCGATGTTTAATGGTATACACCCATTTGCAGCCCACTAGAAGTTTACCCTCAGGAAGAGGAACAAGCTCCTAGGTGTGGTTCTTTATGAGGGCTTCCATCTCTTGGTTCATAGCATCCTTCCACTAAGGGGACTACATTGCATCTGAAACATTACAAGAAATAGAAACAGAGGAGATAGCAGAAATATAGGCATAATAGGAAGGCGGAAGAGCGTCATAAGAGACATAATTAGTGATGGGGTAGGCAGTGCATTTTCTTTTTCCTTTTTGAATTGCAATGGGAAGGTCAAAGTTAGATTGTGGGATAACAGGCTTGATAATAGTAGAAATAGGAAGTTAAGGCTTGCTTTCAAAATTACCTAGAGGCGGGTGATTAGATTGTTGTGGACATTCATGCTTAGGAGTAACCTTCTTTTTGTGCCTTATGAACCACTGCTGCCAAGACCGCTGCTAAGGAACATGAGGAAGAGGACGAGCAGGAATACTATTATTACAAGTAAGAAGGGAAGAAGATGGACCAAGAATGTCCATAAAGGATGGAACAGGAAAACTGAAGAGTGTTCGATCTTCACTAACACTCTCCCCCTGAAGAAAAGGATGAGTGGGTTGGAAATACAAAGTAGACTCAAGGAATGTAACATCCTTGGATGCATACCGTTGGGCAAAGTGGTGATCGAAGCACTTGTACCCCTTTTGGATTGGAGAATAGTCTAGAAAAATGCATTTGATAGATTTAGGATTAAGTTTAAGACAAGAACTCATATCATGAACAAAGCAACTACAACCAAAGACTCTGAAAGGCAGACAAAAAATGAGACCTTTAGGGAAATGAAGTTGATGAAGAGATTGAAGGCCAAGGGTCTGTGAAGGAATTTTGTTAATGAGATACACTGTTGCTTCAACTGCATCCCCCTAGAAGCGAATCGACACATGCATTTGGAAGAGTAGGCCTCTAGCAACTTCAATGTGTCTATTTTTTTTCTTTGTTACACCATTTTGCTACAAAGTATAAGAATATAAGTTTTGAACAATGGAAGGAACTTCATCTCAACTCTTCATCAAGTATAACCATGTATATCTAGAGTAATCATCAATGAACAATATAAAATATTTATAGCCACTCATACATGGAATAGAGTGTGGGCCTCAAACATCATCGTGTACCAAGTTGAAAGCAGCATAACTCTTATTATTTACAAGATATGTGGTTTTACATTGTTTTGAGAGATGACAAACTTCACATTGCATACCCAAACCAGACATAGATTGACACAAGATTCGAACTCGCCTTCGCTTCAACATGACCCCCCCCCCCTTTTCAACTAGTGCTATGCATCTTCATTCTTCTTATTATAAAAGTTTTTTATTAAAACTAAAGAAAAATGATATTCTTCTTCCCCCTCATCCTCCTCTCCTCTTAAGGAGGCTCACACCTCATTGTGTTCGGGAGGCTTATTCCTCTTACATTCTGAACTATACCCCATGCCTCTAGGTAGCGGAACGCCTCGCATCATGCCTCCGCGTTTTAAAACATTGATTAGAACCACTTGAGGTAGGGGACCTACACTTCTCATGCTGAGTCAATAGGATCCTAAGCTTCTCCATCACATCAGAGGGGTCATGTGTAGGAGCTTGAACATTAGAAAGAGGACAATTAACACTAATAGTAGCAAGATGAGCATTTCCCTTCTTTGTTGTTTTATACTTTTCTGGCTTCAAATGTGGATTCAGTTTCCAACACGTCCTTGGTATGTTTTGCCTTCTTGCAGTATTCACGTGCCACTTCATCAAGATTTTCATTAATACCCTATCTATTTATACTCTGCTTGGATTTGGAAGACATGTAAGTAAAATGGTCCACCACTGAAGTCTGCATCATAGCAACCCTTCTACTTTCCTCTCCCTGTACCAGGGAGTATGTAGTAGCAAGAAAAACAATATTTGCACTCAAGATATGTTGTCGAGTAAAATCATACTCAGCATTCAACCCTACCAAGAAGTCAAGCACTCGGTTCTTCTCAACATATTCCGGTATTGTTCACCATCCTCAAGATTTTTCCATTCCAAGGCCTCTAGATGGTCCATTTCTTCCCATAAAGATTACAAGGAAGAGAAGTACATGGCTACAAACCTCTCACTTTAACGCATATTACAGGCTTCTCTTCAAAGTTGGTAGGCTTTGGCTGTATTTTTTGCCTGGTAGTATGTGGCTGTTACATGATCCCAAGTATCCTTGGTAGTGGAGAGTAGGGGTGCTAATGGATTGGTTCATGATCCGATCTGATCTGAGATCCGATCCTATTTGGTCAAATTCAGATCACCCCAGTTCGGATTTGGATTGGATAATAGGATCCGATCAGAAATCGGATCGGATTTGGATCACCCCTTATCCGATCTGATATATATGCTATATGTTTATTTATATAAATATATATAATACACATATATGTTATTTATTTATTTATAAATATATTATTTATATTATATTTTCGTAAATTAGTTATATTATTTATTTATTTATAAAAACATGTATATATATGACAAAAATACTTGTATTTTTTGTTTTTATTTATTTAAATTGGTGCATTTTTTTTTCTTTTAATAATTTATTAATTTTTAAAGAAAACAAATCAGATCGGATCAGATCCAAATATCCGACTTCCCAATCAGATTCGAGTTCAGATCCATGTCTATTAGATCCAATCAGATCTGTAATTAACAGTGTTGGATTGGATTTGGATATACCCTAATTCGAATCCGATCTGATCCGTTTGCATCCCTAGTGGAGGAACATGTAGTTACGGGCAATATGTGATTGCATTGAACACACCAGCCATGGCATTACCAAGGAATTGTTCTATTTCCATTTGGCAAATTTGACCAATTAACATTGTTGGATCGGATTTGGATATACCTTGATTTCTGATCTGATCCGTTTGCGTCCCTAGTGGAGAGGAACATGTAGTTATGGGCAATATGTGGTTGCATTGAACACACTGGCCATGAAATTACCAAGGGATTGTCCTATTCCCATTTGGAAAATTTGGGGTCATTAGGTTTCAGCTTCCCCTCCTTACCAATAATGAATCGTAGCTTACCCTTACCTTCAATAGTAAGCTTGGCTGATTGAGACCACTCTAGGAAGTTGGTTCCATCAAGATTCACATCGGTTATCATACCACTAGAGACATCAACATTGCCTGGGAGCACTCTGGAAACAATCTGTACTTCCTTAGGCAAGTCCATTTGATTTGGATAGGTTTCTTGATAGTTTTACAACACTCCAACAACCAACCAATGCACACTAGACCCACCAAAACAGGGAAACACTTGGTTGGAGTCCAATAGGAGGCCAAAAACTGGACTGCTGGCAATACCAACCTTGGATGAATCACTTCCCATACCTCTACAAAAGTTAAATGAATCAAACACAACAAGTGTCAAGCAAGTACCAACCTTAGATGAGGAAAAAATCCAAACACCAAACCAGGAAACATCATAGGAGCATCAAATGAAGATGAGAACCATACCATAAAAATCCCTAAAAGCAGGTGCACCAAAGTATACCAGTTTCAAGGGTTGCCACCGTTACCTGTACGGACTGCTGATGTCATCCGACAGCAGTTTGATGTCAATAGGCCTTCTTAAGTTCGAGCGGAGAGGAAGAAGAGAGGAAGATAGCTTGTAACGATGAGAAGAACCATTGGAAACAAGATAAAAAGAGGTAGATAACTTGTAATATGATGAGAGAGAAACAAAGACACTTGGAATGAGATAGAAAGGAATTAACTTATGGCATTACAAGTAGTCAATGAGGGCATTATTGGAATAACAATCTGATCATGGACGAAGATCTTAAGCATGAAACTATCTCTTTTTATTATGGTTATAGATTATATACACTTACAAGAATGCCCTTATAGGACAAAATTAAGAAAAGAACAAGATAATATACAACATGAGCTATGATAATATAATGCAATGCTCCTAATCTCTACCCTTCCCTTCAAACTATTGCACCGACAGAAGCATCAGTTTGTCAACAATGAAAAGATGTGATCTTGTTATAACCTTGGTGAAAATGTCAGCAATCTGCATATGAAGGCAACATGAGGAAGAGAGATGGAGCCAGCAAGAAACAAGTCTTGAATGAAGTGACACTCAAAGACCCCCCCCCCCCCCCCCCCCCCCCCCCCTGAACTTCTAGGTTCCATCACTTTGCCCCTTTCTTTGCTAACGGGGTTGACAGTGAAGTGAAAATTACTAAATTGCCCTTTTGAGAAGTTAGCTAATGGTAATGGCAAAGTGCTAGAATCTAGAAGAATAAGAGGTCTTTGTCGCTAAACAAAGTTTGGGGGGCTAAGTGTCATTACACCCCAAGTACAGGGTGTCTGCCTGTAATTTATTCTAAATTATGTAATTTATTGCAACACCACATTATTGTAAATTTGTGATCAATATTGCATAGGCTCTCCTTAATAGCCTGTTGTGTTGGACACACTTCTGAGTCTCTGAGTCCAACACTTGATGGATTATTGAGGGCATTTCTACATAACATTTCCTTTTTATCTCCTAGGTTGTTTGACATAAATGGGCAGTTAATCTACAAGATGAATCCATTTTTTGTATCAAATGTCACTTGGTAACAAAGGCAACTTATTTTGATGGTACATAATGTTAGGATTCAAAAAAATATAATTTATTTTAATTGTATACTTTCCTATAGACATGTTGGCGAATCCATGTTTTCTCATCTTGCTGAGTCAGACTCTTGGACACACGTTGGGTTCTTACTCCTGTGTCTATATCCATGCTATACTGATTGTGATGCACATTATTATGAATCTTATATCAGAAGACAAATGGACTTTTATTATATGTATAATAATAATAAGTGTAAGGCGTGGTGGTTAGGTGCACCTCCAAAAGTGCCTTCCTAGGGAACACCTTGACAACCATGAAATTCATTGATAATACTTTTAATTATTTTGACTGTTAAATCAATTTCTATGACAAATGCAGTGGATTCCCCAAAACTGAAATTGACCCAGAATTTGTTTTTTTTTTTTTTCCATGGTTTCTTTTCCTTCTCCATGTATGTAACATATAGGATAGCCCATTCAGTGGAATTAGAAAATGTTTAAACCATATCGTTTAGTTATTTAGATGGTTGGTATAGATTTTTTCATTAGTCCAGTATTTGTTACTTTCAGTTTTGTTTTAGTTGCATTATTTATGAGCCTACATGCTAATATTTCAGTAGGAGCAACCAAATGACATTTATTTTCATGCTGTCTCCCTGTACTGTCTCAAGTAATACATTTTATTGTTGTTTTCTTCCACTATATTTGAATCATGATGGGCAGAAACCAGTCGAAGTTTATTCGTGGAATTGTGGAAGTGGTTTTAGCTACATTGAATCAAACACATTTGAATGTCGCCACCTACCCAGTTGGAATAAATTCTCGTCTAGAGGACTTGAAGTCATTATTAAATCTCTGGTCAAATGATGTTCACATTGTAGGAATTTGTGGCATGGGTGGAATAGGTAAGACGACAATTGCTAAAGCTGTCTATAATGCACTCTTCCGCAAATTTGAAGGTGGTTGCTTTCTTGCAAGTGTTAGAGAAACTTTAGAGCAGCCTGATGGTCTACTTGATTTACAGAGAAAACTCCTATCTGATATTCTATTGAAAGAGGATGTAAAGATGAGCAATGTCGATAGAGGAACCCATTTGCTTAAAGAAAGGCTCTCTTGTAAAAGAGTTCTTGTCATTCTTGATGATGTAGCTTATTCAAATCAATTAAATTTGTTAGCTATAAAGCGCAACTGCTTTGGCATGGGAAGCAGAATCATTATAACAACCAGAGATGAGCATGTGTTACATGAGCTTGAAGTTGATTGTATATACAAGGTCAAAGAATTGGATGAGCATGAATCCATTCGGCTCTTTAGCTGGCATGCCTTCAGAAAAGACCAGCCCATGGCAGAATTTATAGAGCTTACAAAATGTATAGTCAGTTATGTTGGAGGGCTTCCTCTAGCTCTTGAAGTTTTGGGTTGTTTTCTGTCTGACAACAGAAGCATACTTGAATGGAAAAGTGCTTTGGATAAACTCAAAAGAATTCCTTATAATCAAATTCAGAAAAAGCTTAGACTATGTTTTGATGCTCTAGATGATAAAGAAAAGAGTATATTCCTTGATATAGCATGCTTCTTCATCGGAATGGACAAGGATTATGCAGTTAAAATACTTGATAGTTGTGGTTTCTTCTCAGAGTTTGGAATCAATGTTCTCATTCGTAGATTTCTTCTTACAATCAATGAAAAGAACGAGTTGAGGATGCATGATCTGATACGGGACATGGGAAGAAGGATTGTTCATGAAGAATCTCCTAAGGAGCCTGGAAAGCGCAGTAGACTGTGGTTCCATAAGGATGTTCATGATGTTTTAACAAAAAGCACAGTAAGAAGCATTGCATGTACTTTTTCTTCTTCATGCAGCTACAACATGAAAATGTACAAATCTGTACATATACATGCATTTATAAAACTCTGAAAATGAATGAATATAATTAAGCATATATTTTAAACACCATAAACAAAAATGGGTTTTTTTTGGTAATTGAGGAAAGAAATGGGCTACACAGAATAGGAGTAGCCATTGTTTAAAGTACCGATATGCACGCACAAACAGGTGTATCGGGTGCTCCAGAAAGCTAACGATACATTACGATATACCTGATATCGTATAAAAAATTTGAACCTTAGGGGTAGCCCTTACAAAAAATGGGATTCAGTGTTTAGTTGCATCCTTATTTTCTTTTTTTTTGGGTATTATAACTGATACTCCTAAGTTTTATATCATGTTTTTCCTTTTCTAAGGCTTGTCTTCATGCAAAGGAGGTGGAAACTCTGTTTACACCATCAGAGATTGATAATATAGCTTTGTCTATTTTGACTGAATAATTTCCCACCCCTTTTATTTTGAAACAAATAGAGCCTAAATTGTGTTTACACCATCAGAGATTCTTACCTTAAGTTCTGTACAAAAATTTCCCCCTGAAAATAAAAGCACATTAAATTCTGTTATTTATAATGTTTCTCTATTTTCCATCTATTCAGATTTTGTTGCATCAAATATCAATCTTTTGCTTTCCTTTCTTTTAGTGGATAGCTTTGACTTAGTAGTTAGGTTTCAAGAGAGTAGTTCATGAGACCTATATGAACAGAATGTCTTAACATGCAACTATTTTCTAATCATGTTTGTGTTTGCGTGTCACCATCAGCTTTTTCTTTGTATCTCTGATGCAGGATCACAATAGGTAATGGAATGGGACTGCATCATTTAAGCTTTGGAAAAGTGCTTTCACTTTGTATCTTTGATGCAGGATTGCAATAAGTAATAAGTGGGGTTGCCACCCGTTGGAAGGAAGCCATGGATATAGAAATTCAAGCACTCTTGGAGAATGAAAATGACACTTGGAAGCTTGTTCTGCCTCCACCCGACACTTTTGTCATTGGGTATATTCTATCAAGTTGAAGTTTGATGGGAGCCTTGAGAGGTACAAAGCTAGACTGATTGCCCAGGGTTATAAGTAGGAATATGGTATTGACTAAGAAGAGACCTTTTCTCCGATAGCTAAGATGACCACTATACTTATAATTCTTGCCATCTCTGCTATCAAACAATGGGATGCACACCAAGTGGATGCCAAGAATGTATTCTTGCACGGAGACCTAGAAGAAACAATCTATATAAAGCCTCCTCCTAGATATAATTCTGATTCTCATATGGTATGTCAGTTGAAGAAGTCATTGTATGGTCCCAAACAAGCTCCATGAGCTTGGTTTGAGAAATTGCTCTACCATCATTGAGGTCAGGTTTGTTTAGAGTTCAGTTAACTACTCTTTATTTACTCTTTGGAGTTCCTGTAGCATCACTTCTATGTGGATGCTATTCTAATTATATGAGATGACATTGATGGTATTTCCTCTTTGAAGGAGACTCTCAATAATTCATTCAAGATGATCCTTGGTCAGTCGTCTTACTCTTTGTTACTAGAAGTGCCCCATTCTTGCCATGGGTACTTTGTAAACCCGCATAAGTATGCTCTTGATTTAATTAAATTAGCCCACATGACAGATGATAAGCATGTAGATGCTCTTGAACTCAATCATAAGCTATCTAAAGAGGATGGTGAAGCTCTGATTGATATTACTCTCTATTGTTAGTTGGTTGACAGACTCATATATCATACAATGACTCGTCTTGATATCTCTTAGCAGTTCAGATTGTCAGTCAGTTCGTCTCTACTACTAGGCAGCCACATATGATTTTTCTTCAAATTATCTGGTATATTCAGGGGACTCTGTCTCATGGACTCTTTTTCTCCTCATCCTCCATTTACTCGTGGCCTTTGTGCACACTAACTGGGCTGGGGGTCCAAATACTCAACACTCTATTATAGGGTGGTGTGTCTTTCTTAGCGATTCCCTGGTATTCTAAAGTGTAAGAAACAACAAACGGTCTCCAAATCCTCCACTAAAGCTGTGTATCATGTTATGTCCTTTGTTTATAGTGAGTTGGTGTAGCTTTGTGCTCTATTGCATGATCTTGGCTTTTCCCTCTCTTCCTCAATCCCTCTATATGCAGATAATGTTAGTGCAATCAATATTGCCACCAATTTGGTGGTTCATGAACACACCAAACACATTGAGGTCAATTGCCATTTTATTCGAGATCAATTTCTTATTGGACACATCACCCTTCCACATGCGTCTTCTAGACTTTAGTTGGTGGACTTATTCACCAAGACTCTGACACGTGCTCACCATCATTTCCTTACTGACAATTTGATGATTGTCGCATAGCATCAATTTGAGAGGGGGGGTTGTAAAGATATGGGGTGATTCCCCAGTGGAACTATGTTTATATTGTACACCTTTTGTATCATATTTTTTCTTCTTTTGCTTCCTAAATATATGTTTTTTTTTTTCTCTCTTATATGTGAAGGGCGCAATCATCTTTTGAGACTCTTTATTAAGATTAATATAAGGTTGTTTTCTGGGCATGTGAAAAGTACACACCTGGTTCAAATCTTAGTCTCTCAAACTGCCTGACATGTATGAAGAGTAAGATAGAGGATTAGTGTTCAAGAGTTATGGTTTGAGGAGAGGTTTTTTTTTTTTTTTTTGGAAAAAGTAATGTAATTTATTCAGAACATAAAAGAGAGATACAAGACCCAGACCACTAATACTGCCTCGACACAAGTCAAATTACAAGCTCATCCATGATTTAGAACAAAACAAAAGAGATGCATTCTGGTTTTTAAATTCCTCATTCACCAACACCCAGGAACATAGCTTGCCCATGGCACTCTGCACTACTTCATCCAGGCTTTTAAATTTACCACAGAAGATTCTGTTATTTCTTTCAGTCCAAATGGACCATAACACAGCTGCCGGAATGGTACTCCAAACAAGCTTTCCTTTCTTGCTGAGACCCTCAACTCTCCAACACATCAGTAGCTCCTTCACAGATTTTGGCATAGTCCAGCTAATCTCCAAAACCTTAAGAAAAAGGGTTCGATTTGAGGAGAGATGGAGGAGGAAGAGGTGGAGGAAGTGAAGAAGAAGAAGAAGGGTTCGGTCTAGCAACAGTATGGTACTATGCAAGAGAACTATATTGCTATGTCATGGTTATGGGATCTATGGTTCCATATATCAGTAGGAATTATGCATGGATGAAAACTGCCAAAGAAATTTGGGTAAGTGTGGCTAAGTCATATCTTGGGTAGATGGCATATCTGATTCATTGCTGATTCCAAGCAGCTTTTTCTGCTTCTCTCCTGCCCCCTTAGTGTAACCTTAATGTTTCATAGTTCTTCAGTCTCTCTTTGCCCATTCTCCTCGGCTTGTTTTGCGGCCATGGGGTTGCCATGTGCTGGTCACTGTCACTCCACATGTTGGTCTCTGTTGCAGCCTAATTTTTTGCTATTCTGTTCTCTCATTGAAGTAGGTGGTGCTTGGTTCATGGTTCAGAAAGGGGTAGCTCAAGTATAACATTGAAGCATGCTCTGCCAAGAAGGATATGGTGCAGTAGTGTCAAGAATATATATGCCATCCACCTCACATCCACTCCAGATTGTTCTCCTTCTGGCCATCAACTGAAAGAAGATTTTATTTGCTTAGTAAATGTAGAACTGATGCAGCACCACCTGTTAGAAGAAAGAGGAAGAAACAGCAAGAAGAGAAGTAGCAAAGGATAGAGAACAGTCGAAGAGAAGAATTTGTAAATTTCCATTTCTCAAAATATGACTTTTGTTAGATTTAAGTTTTTTACTTCTGTTGTTAGAATGCTGTCAGCATAAGCTGCTGTCAGCATGTTCTTTTCTTTATTTTTGGGGTGTGCCGCCAGGGACCTACTTGTAATTTCTTTGTATCTTATTTGTTACATCAAATTAATATAGAATAGAAGCTGGGCACCGCCAGCACTCATCTTTTGACTCACATTTTTTTTCTTCCTCTTTTCTTCTCTCCTCTCTTCTCTCCTCTCTCTTCTTCCTCTTTTCTTGTAAGAGAACATGGTATCAGAGCACAACTATGGGCAATAGGAGTTGTTTGTTTCGCTGAATTGTATCCATTCAGACTATTTTTCATCGCTTCTTCTAGGTTCTTCCTTGGTCGTAGCACCAAGGTAACCCTAGTAGGAGGCCGATGTTGTGAAGCTTCCTTATTTTCTTTTGGCTGATGCTATGAAGGCTTAGTCGTGAGTTTTGCACCTTTATACAGGTGCTATACAGGGGTGTGTGATCCCCTTTGTCACAGGTATGTACTGTGTTTAAATTGGTCTGTGAAGTGTGGAGATTACAGCAGTATTCTCCTTATTTCTGGACTGTTTAGTTGCTGCCAGTAGCCCTTCAGTGTTGTGTACCTGTTTTTCAGAAGCAGTGTGTGGGGTTTTGTGCCCTAATTGTGACTGTTAGAAGTAGTACTGGTATGAGGACTGGTCTTGTGCACCTGCAGTTTTGTTTTTGACTTGTAGAGCTGCCTTTGAAAATGGCGAATGATGATTCTGCCTCATCTGGGGTTACATCAACCCATAGTACAATAAGTATGGGGACTGAAAGTATGATGTTCCCTTTGCCAATTACTCCTTTAAATGGTCTGACTTACCTGGAGTGGGCCAAAGGTGTAAAACTTTATGTAACAACAGGGGAAAAAGCTGGTTACATAAATGGAAAGGTGAAAAAACCCAAGAGTGGGACTGCTGAACATGCCAGTGGGACCAAGAAAACAATATGGTGATGTCCTGGCTTCTTGCAATTATGGAATCTGATGTGAAGAAGAACTTTATGTGGGCAGGCACTGCAAATGAGATATGGTAACATGCCAAAACCACTTATTCTGAGCAAAGGCACTATGCTAAGATCTACTAGTTACAAGCTGAATCCTCAACCTGTA